TAGTGAGGCCCACAGCAATTTAACAGATTTTAAAAGATAATTAGGCCTGGGGRTGTATTTTAGAGGTACAGCACCCCTGGGTTCACGGTTCAGTCCCTAGTACAAAAAAAAAAAAAAAGGAATGACCTTCGGAAGCTGTGTCAGGCCTGCKCTCACTCCACGGGGCGTCTTCTGAGCAGCTGACAGTAGCTAAAGACTGCCTGGGCTCAGACTCGAGCCTCGTGGCTTTTGGGCATGTTGGTTCACCTCTCCCGTGCCTCAGTTCTGTGCCTGGGGTTTGTGCCCCTTCTCAAGTTGTGAATTAACGCCTCCAAAGACTTCAGGACAGACTTGGCACCTATGAGAGATCATAAACATATCGCTCTCTGCAAATTCCATTCTGGTGATTGTTCCTGTGCCTGCTTTGGCTCGGGGCTGCTGTTCTAGCTGYAACAATGGCGTGGAGGCTGGACCTTATGGTCCACCTCTAATCCCAGCAGTCTGGGAAGCTGAGGTAGGATTGTAAGTGCAAGGCCATCTGGGCAATTTAGTGAGACCCTGTCTCAAAAAGGGTTAGGGCACGCCTGTAGTCCCAGTGGCTCAGGAGGTGGAAGGAGGATTGCGAGTTCAAAGCCAGCCTCAGCAAAATGGAGGCACTAACACTCAGTGAGACCCTCTCTAAATATAAAATAGGGCTAGGGATGTGGCTCAGGGGGCCCCTAAGTTCAACCCTGGTACAAAAAAAAAAGTGGGTTTGTATTCAGTAGAGAACCATGGATTTGATCCCTGATATTACAATAACGATGACAATGGCAAAAAAAAAAATTGTTTTTTTACAGGAGCTGGGAGAGTAGCTCGGTGGTAGAGTACAGGCTTGGCATGTATGAGGCCTTGGGTTTGTTCCCCAGCACCAAAAAAGCCACACAGCAATGGTTATGGAACAGCATTAGTTCTGACTGAAGTCTCAGTGGTATAGAAATGGAGAACTAAAGCCCCTTCTGGCCCCTTCCTGCCCCCTTGGACCCCCCTCCCTGGGACCTTTAGACATGCCAGCTGTTACCACTACACTGTCCGCAGATGGCTGCCAGGTGTAGCCCCAAGGCTGGCAATCAGAGGACCTCACTGGCTGGGGTCACCTGCTCCAGCTCTGGGCCTTTGGTCTGGGAGGTTTCAGTATCCACCACGAGCAGGTAGGGAGAGACTGATGGCTCTGCACCTGAGGGACATCCCTGTCCCCGACCTTCCTCACCAAGATCAGTGCCAGAGTCCTGAGTTCAAATGAGGCAGGTGGAGGCTGCCCCGCCCCAGCCCAGCTTGGGGAGCAGCAAAAARGCCTGGGAGCTTCAGCCAGGTGCTGCATCCCCTGGGAAAACAAGCCRCAATTGGGGCTGCTTACTGTTGGTGTCCTTCACATGCCTGTGGGACAGGGGGACAGGATCCCTGAAGCTCCTATACCTGGCAGAGCCCTGCCTTCTAATCCCTATCCCCAAGTAATTGGACTTCCTATCACACAGTATATGTTCATTGGTGCTGGGAATTGAACTTGGGCACTTTACTGCTGAGCTACATCCCTAGTCCTTTTTATTTTGAGACAGGGTCTTGCTAAGTTGCTGAGGGTCTCATTAAATTGCTGAGGCTGGCCTCACACTTGCGATCCTCCTGCCTCAGCCTCCCAAATGACTGAGTTTACAAGGCATGTGCCACCACGCTCAGCTCATTTTCAGTTCTTTGTTGTAGTTTAACTCAAATACCTCACCTTCCCAACAGCCRTTCCCCTCATTTCCTTCCTACTTCAATAAAGTTCACACTTGGTTGCTCAGGTCCCAAACCTGGAAGCTGCCCTGATTCCCCCAACAAGGCCAAATATATGGCGGTATAATAAGCTTCACTTTCCCAAATCTTTCCATGTCTCCCTCTATGGCATTGTGCTCTGGCCCTAGTCCTGTCCAGCTCCACCCTGATATTACAGCAGCCCGCTCTCTGGGCTCTCTGTGCTTGAACTTCTCCACTCTGTGGCCCTCATGCAGCCAAAGGGCCTCGTGAACAGCTGAATAACATCCCAGCCTCTTACTGAAAATCTCATCTTCCCATTGCATTTAGAATAAAATTCTGGGATAAGGGTCTAATTCACTGGTAGAGCACTTGCCCATCATGTGAGAGGCCCTGGATTCCKTYCCCAGCACCACTTAAAAAAATATATATAGGGCTGGGGATGTGGCTCAAGCGGTAGCGCGCTTGCCTTCCATGGCCCGGGTTCGATCCTCAGCACCACATACAAACAAAGATGTTGTGTCTGTCAAAAACTAAAAATAATAAATATTAAAAAATATATATATATATCAAATTCTACACCATGCTTTAAGCCCATTCATTCAGAACTCCTACTCCACCAGACACTGCTTCAGGGACCAAGCATACAGCAGGGACCAAAACAAGACCTGCTCYCTTGTGGGCTGATATTCTTGGGGAAGAAATGCACAAGACACAAGGCAGGGAATATGTCGGGTGGTGTGTAGATGGTGAGGTACTGTAGACAAAGGTGCAGGAGGGTTGAACCTCCTGCTCGAACATATGAGGCAAGTGCTCTACCCCTGGCTCACCCCCCAGCCCCAGGATGCCATTTTACATAAAGTGGTCAGGGAAGCGCTTGCAGAGGAGGAAACATTTCTGCAGAGACCTGCAGAAGAGGGTGCCATTGGCCTCGAAGATCCAGAATCTGGGGAAAGTGTGTCAGGCAGAGGTAACAACGTGTCACCAAGTACAAAGGCTTTGAGGCTGAGGGTGGAGCCTGGCATGTTGGAGGAACAGCAAGGTCAGCAAGCTAGGGGGAGAGGGGGTGAGCTAGGAGCTGTGGGGACCAGGACACGGAAGACCCAGGTCTGGCTGAAGCCCCAGGACTTTGAACTGTTACAAAATCTGGGCTGGGCCAGGCAGGGCCCCGCAGGCTCCTCTGCGTCTTTTCCTCCTTTCCTTGACTTTTGCTTTTCCTCTGAGTGTGGGTTCTGAGCAAAGGAGGGAGGGACATGATCTGACTCAGGCTCTCAGGGCATCACTTGGCTCCTTACAGGAAAGAGCATGCAAGGATGCGGGCTGGGGGCTGGGTACAGGGAGGAGACTGCTGCAGAGGTCCAAAGGAACATGAGTGAGGGTGGACAGAACCAGGATAAGGCTCTGAAGTGGATGGGTTCTGCATGTATTTTGAAAATGTAATGACAAAATTTCCCAGAGAACTGTCTGCAGGTAGGACAGGAGAGTGAGGGATGACTTTTCTAAATAGCCAGAAAGATGGGAATGCCATTAACTGAGGACTGCAAGGTGATCTGGTTTGGGGGGCAGATCAATTAAACTCAGGAACACAGTTTCCCCCCCCCACCAGTACTGGGGATTGAACCCAGTGGTGTTTAACCATGGAGCTACATCCCCAGCCCTTTTTAACTTTTATTTTWAAATATTTATTTATTTAGAGACAGAGTATTGCTAAGTTGCTCAGGCTGGCTTTGAATTTGCAATCTTCCTGCCTCAGCCTCCTGAGTTGCTGGGATAACAGGTGTGCACTATTTATATTTGAGATGCCTGTTAATGTGGCAATATCATTTTTTTGGGGGGGGGGTTACCAGGGATTGGATTCAGGGGCACTTAACTATTGAGTCACATCCCCAGCCCATTTTTATATTTTATTTAGAGATAGGGCCTCACTGAGTTGCTTAGAGCCTTGCTGTTGCTGAGACTGGCTTTGAACTTGTATTCCTCTTGCCTCAGCCTCCTGAGCTGCTGGGATTAGAGATGTGCACCACCACCCCCAGCTGCAATATCATTTATCTGTATTTGTTTGCTTATTTATTGTTGCCCTCTCCACTATAATGATAGCCACTTGAGAACTGACCAGGCATATCATGCTCTTCACTATACAGAGGCCAAGAATGGTATGTGGCACAGAGTAGGTTTTCATTAATTGTTTGTTGAATGAATAATGAAGGTAGCCAAGYCCCCAAATCCTCTACCTTCTCACTTTGCTGGTACCTATTCCAATCTAACTTCCATGACCATTTTATAAATCCTTGAGGTCCTTGTGCAAATGCATCCTTTGCCAGGTGTTGGGGCACAGGCCTRTGATTCTAGCAAATCAGAAGGCTGAGGCTGGAGGATCACAAGTTTGAGGTCAGATTGGGCAATTTAGACCCTACATCAAAATGAAATGAAAAATGAACTGGGGATATAGCTCAGTATTAAAGTGCCCTGGGTTCAACCCCCAGTGCCCTAAAACAGACAAACGTGTGGCTTCTCCGTGAAGCCTACTCTGAGTACTTCATTTACATTCAGTTATGCTTGACTTTTGGCCACAGTGTTGGAATATATATACTATATACTTTTTTTCCTTCCTGGTACTGGGATTGAACCCAGGGCCTCGCACATGCTTGGCAAGCGCTCTACCACTGATCTATATCCTCAGCACCCCACATCACCTTTATAAAAAAAAAAATTGTTACTGGAAATTGAACTCAGGGGCGTTTGACCACTGAGCCACAACGCCAGCCCCTATTATTTTTTATTTTGAGACAGCGTCTCTCTGAGTTGCTTGGTGCCTCGCCAAATTGCTGAGGCTGCCTGTGAACTTGGGATCCTCCTRCCTCAGCCTGCAGAGTAGCTGGGGTTACAGGAGAGCGCCATCGCGCCCTGCACTATGCACATTTTCTTAACATTTCGTTCTGTCTTTAGTGCATAAAACACGGCCTGGCACATAGCAGGCGTTCGATAAACACTTGTTGTGTTCGGCGTTGCCCAACGGGATGTACGTTCTGCAGCCCGAACGGTGAAGAACCGATGATTCATTCATGATTCTGGCCCCGCCCACAACGCGAATGACGTGCGCGCTCACGTACTCGAGTGGAGGAGCAGGTGAACTGCGCAGGCGCCGAGCTCCGGGTGGGTGGTATCAATTCATCAGGTGCGCGCGCGCGGGAGGGCGGCGGCGGCGGCGGCTCGGTACGCAGGCGCGGCGGGCAGTGCGCAGGCGCCGGCGGAGGGCGGGCTGAAGCAGCTGAAGCAGCAGCAGCAGCAGCAGCGGCGGAGGCTCCGGCATAGGGGCGGGAGCTGAGGCGGGAGCGGACCGGCTGGTGGGAGAGCGAGAGGCGGCGGAATGGTGGACTACCACGCGGCGAACCAGTCGTACCAGTACGGCCCCAGCAGCGGGGGCAATGGTGCTGGCGGCGGGGGTGGCATGGGCGACTACATGGCCCAGGAGGACGACTGGGACCGAGACCTGCTGTTGGACCCGGCCTGGGAGAAACAGCAGCGCAAGGTGCGCGGCCCTCGGGCCGGACGGGCTGGAGGGGGTCTTCCTGGGGGGGATGGGAAGGGGATTGGAGGTCCTGGAGGGAATTGGGGGGTCTGTGATGGGAATTGGGGGTGCTGAAAAGGAATTGGCGGGCCCAGGAAGGGCTTTGGAGTCCCAAAGAGGAATCTTAAAGCTTGAGGAAGGAATTGGGAATCTGCAAAAATTGGCGCCGGGGTAGGGAATATGGGAATCTGCAAAAAGGAATCTGGAAGCCTAGTGAAGAATCGGAGGGTCTGGGCGGGGAGTTGGAACCGGGGCGAGGACTGGGGAAGCTGAAATGGAATTGGGACCTGAGGCAGGACTGCAGGGTCGCAGAATGGATTGGGAGGGCTAAGGGGAGACAGGGGGCCTGGGAAGGGAATGCGTGGGCCAGACTAGAATGTGGGACCCGGGAGCCCGAGTGTGGAGGGGATTATTCCAAGCGCCGAAAGTCAGAGATTGGAATGGGGGGAGCTTTAGGGTGAGGGAGTTCTAAAGGACACCAAGAACCAGGAAGTCTGAAGATAGAGTGGGGGGACCCAGAAAGGGACTGTGAGGTGTGAAGAATTGGGGGAGGATTAGGGAGTCTGGGGAGACACAAGGCTAAGCAAGAAAGGTGTGAAAAGACAAGGATATGGGGTGTGAGGGTGGATAGGAGTGCTGAGGAGGTCTGGGGGGACTGGGGACTAGGGTACTCGGGAGGAGTTAGGGACTTGTGAATAAGACGTTTTTGAAGGGGATGAGATTTATTTGGGGTACCCCATTCTAAAGGGAAGAGGAAGACAACTGGAAGGGGAGTTGATGGAAGGGAAAGCCATGGGGGACACAGGGAGGATTTTGGAGCATTGATGGGAGGCTGAAAAGCCCAGTCCTGGGTTGGAGAGCCTGGCTTGATGGGGTCTGGGCAAGGTGAGGACGGTGGGAGGGACTGTGAGCTGGAATGGCCATGGTGGGAGGGAGGTGAGTTTAGGAAAATGAAAGTCTCCTTAGGATGATGGATAAACTGAGGAAGGAATGGGGGAACAGGTTGGGGAGAAGAGAGTGTCCCCAGAATTGTGTCTTTTTTGACGGGGTTGGGGAGGACAGGTGAAGGAATTCCATAGTGAGTGTGTTTTGGGGTGTGGAAACAACTTAGGGGGGGCCCACAGTAGTGAAAGGGAGGTCAGAAGTAAGTAGGAGGCCGGGAAGGTGTTGGTGTGTGGGGTGGATAATCAGTGTGGCTGAGAGGGGGAGCTCTTAGTGACATAAGAGGTTTGAATGTGTGCAGGGAGAGCTAAAGAAAGAAGGTGCCGAGTGGGCGGCCTGGGGAGGGGGCTGCTCAGCAGTGTCGCTGGGAAGAGGGCGGAGGTACTCGAATTTAGAAGCTTTTAATGTGTCCTGGAGGCCTGGGCTTTCTTTCCAGGTTTCTTGCTGACGTCTCTGTGGCCTTGGGCAAGACCCCCCATCTCCCAGCAGTCTGTCTCCTCAAAGGAGAAGGGATAGAGAGAGTTCCTTTGGAGATTCCACAAAGGTGGACTGTGTGCAGTTGGGACTTGGGGAGAGGACTCTGAGTTCCTCCAATACCTGCTGCTGTAGATTCTCAGGAAGGGCCAGGTCCTAGTAGGTCTGGGGGAGATTTTTCAGGACCACGGGCCGACTCAAGGGGTGTGCACAGAGAGTGACGGAAGCCCTTTGCAGGTGCGAGCTGGTGCTTGGGACGGCGCAGGCTGCCMAGTCTGGAGGGCGAGGGTGGAGGAGCAGCCGTTCCAGGGCAGCCTGAGGTGGGGCCTGGCATAACCTTGGCTAAATTACCAACGTCAGCGCGAATGTCCTCATCTGTCATAATGAGGGTGGAGAGTGGCAGCGGCTTGGTGGGGGTGTTGTCCTCCATTGCTCCACCTGCTGCAGGGTGGTCCTATAGAGATTGCTGACATAAAAATGCCTTTTGAGGGAAAAGGGGAGTTCTAGGCTGGAGTCTCAACAGTACTTTATTGCCCAAGTCAGTGCCAGGTGGAAAAAGGTTGAGAGTTGCCAAGGCACTTGGAAAGTCGGGAGGGGGTCAGGGAGCCAGGGGTTGATTTTGAGTGGTCTGTCTTCCTCTGGGAGACCTCCTGTCCCTGTTTTCTCAGGTGTTGTAGCAGGACTTCCCTCTTTCTGTCTCCCACTTGGCAGTGCCTCCCTTTGCTAGCTCTCCACTCCCTCCTGGGAGTTAGGGTGTGTGCTTGCTCGTGGTCATAGTCTCCCTTGGCCTCCCTTGGCCTCAGGGCGAGGCTGGGCACATTCAGACCCTGGGTGGGAACCAGGACTCACSGGAATCCAGAGCCTTGCTGCATGTGTCACTGTCTCCTCCTACTTCCTAACTGCCTTCCTCCTGGCCAGCACAGTTGAGGGAAAAGCTGGCTCACGACCTCCAATACCAGCTGCTTTAGATTCTCAGGAAGGGCCAGGTTCTAGCACGTCCTGCTTTATACCTACCCTAGCAAATATTCACGCCTAGCTTTCTTTAGGGGGAAAGTGTTGTTTCAGCTCTGCCCTTTCCAGCTCTGGAGCAGGAATCTATTATGACATGGGTGAAGGAGTGAGGCGAGGGAATACACCCGCTAGTGTTCTTTCCGTCCCGTGTAAGAGAATCTCCCCACCCACAACAGACTGGCCGGATCTCCCAAAGTTACCCAGGCTGGCCTCAAACTTACAGTCCTCCTGCCCCACCTTCCTGAGTCCCTGTGATGACAGGGGTACGCTGAGCTTGCTGGACTTTTTTTTATGTTGCAGTGTCACATTAGTGAACAACACATTGCCCTTCTTGCCTCCAAGGCCAGGACACTGGCAAAGAGAGAGAGTGTCCTGTACACATATACTCACATAAGTGTCCTGGACAAAAGTCTATGTCCAGAACAGTGCAAGCAGGGATTGGCCTGAGTCAGGGTATGTGTCTCCCTCTATCTGACTCCTAGGGCCCTATAACCAAGACAGTACGAATTTTAAAAACTCATCTGTATTTATTATCCTTTAAAACAGAACGGGACTTGGGCACCATGTTTCCATTCATGAGCCTTTCTCTGAGTTACTTTTCAAAAGGCTTTATAACATACCTAGGGAAGTTTATAGTTTTGTTCCTCTAAATACTAATCAAGGCATTATCTAATAAGTAGGTTATGCAACAGTTTTTACATGGGAAGGCCTTGAGTGTTCTCTGGGGGATTGGAGGATTGGTCTGGTCTTTGAGAAAAATTCTGACTTACTTATTCGCTTATTTATTTATTTTTCTTTTTTGAGCCAGGGTCTTGAGTTGCCCAGGCTGTTCTCAAACTCCTGGGCCCAGATGATCCTTCCGCCTAAGCCTCTCTGGTAGCTGGGAGTAAATTCTTCAGTAATTACAGTCTGCAGTTCCCTCTCTCAATTTCTAAAGGGGCCTGAGTAGCCCTGCCAACTCCTGCTCTCATGGAGGGGTGAGGTCTCTTGACACTTACCCCAAAACTTCTCATAGCAGCAAAGGGAAAGGCCTTGCTTGCTAAACTTGTGTGGTCATTGAAACATCACTATTTACAGGGCCTGAGTGTTTAGACCTTGACCTTTGGCTTGGGCTGTATTCGGTGTAAGTTAATTATTTGGAAGTTCTGACGGTGTTTTGTCTTTCTCCAAGTAAGTCTTTTTTTTTTTTTTTTCCATTTTTTTTTTAGGCTGATGGTGGAGGCCCCAAAGTAGCCATCTGTTATTTTGTTCCATTATTCTAATTGCTTGCCTCTTAGGATCTGGCTAAGACTAAGAGGTCCTTAGCAGTTGTCAAAATTGAATAACATACTTAAAAAAAAAAAAAAAAGGTAACCAAACTTAGTTGTCTCTAGAAATGAGACTGTGAACCTGCCCTCCTGGGAGAGGGGAGGGGAAGCGCCTCAGTCCCTCAGCTGCTCCTGTTCTGTTCCCTCCCTCCTTCTCCTGGAGAATGTGTTTTGGAATCTGATTTTCCTAATGACTGAAGAAGTAGGTGTGGGAGGCTGGCCTGGGAGCACAGGGTCACTTGCACTCAGAGCTGAGATCCTGTTGTGGCCAGGGGAGTGGGGCCTGCCACTTCACCTGATCCTAGGCGGTTCAGGGCGTGGGCCAGGATCACCCTCTGCCTTTAGAAACACCCTCCCTGGTTCTGGCTTCCAAGACCAAAGGGAGGCTGCTTGGGCAGCCGGGCCTGACTCACCCTCCTGTYGGAACCTGTGCTACAGGCTTTCCTTTAATGGCAGCCGATTGCCTGGCCTTGTGTGGGGAAAGTGGGGGAAAGCGCTGGAGGAAAACAGCCCAGGGAGCAAGGGTGGGTCTTCCTGTTCCTATCCAGGTGAGACATCTCAAGGAGGTCAGTTAACACTGTACACGCCTGAAATCCCAGGGGATCCARAGGCTGAGGCAGGAGGATCATAAGTTCAAAGCCAGCCTCAGCAACTTAGTAAGGCCCTGAGACCTTGTCTTTAAATGAAATACAAAATAGGCTGGGGATGTGGCTCTGTGGTTGAGTGCTGCTGGATTTACTCCCCAGGACAAAAAAAAAAAAAAGTAGACTTGCACTTTGAACAGGTGGTCTTAGTCAGGTGACAGAAGGAGCAGGGAAGAGTCTGGATTCCTGGCGGAGCTTCTGGAGTGAGCATGAGTTCCACCTTGAGAACACACATGCAGTCCGTGCTCCTCTTCAGCAGTCCCCCAGTGTGCAGCGCAGGTCATCTGGCAGTGCCGACCAGTGGGTGACAGCCAGGAGAGTGGGGCCAAGGAAGGATTGATCTGGGGAGGCCTGAGGATTGGAGGCTGCGGAGATGAGCGCCGTGGGCGTTGACGGTGCTGATTTATAGTGTCCTGGGAATTGCACAAGCCTTTGACAGTTCTTAGGATTGTCCTTTAAAAAATGGTTCCCTTGCTGCTGCTTGTATCTTTTGAAGGAGAGAAAGGCCAAAAAAAAAAAAAAAATTAAGTGAACAGCTGTTTGCTTTGGTACCACTTGCTCATTCAAGTTTTTTGAACAGCCA